GAGTGCGATAAGGCCACGCTTAAATCCTTGGGTTGATGAATTCCTAAACTACAGTCATCATTTAACAGAGGTAACCATTTGTCACACCTTTGCTTTGTAACTAAATAGTTGGTTAAAACCTTTAGGAGGAACTGTCGGCGTACGAAGCTGGTGAAACATTTGTTCAGTATTTCATTGTGCAATTAGACGGACTTTTGAATTCGTTTAAAAATGCATTGAGTGCACGTAATTATGATGCGCTCGTCAGCATATTGGCCACAGAAGTGACAAATCGCTTAGAAAGAGCTATCATGAAGAGCACCTTCAACCGGGTAAAATTTATATTTAATTTATGAAGGTCAGCAACATGTTCAGTAAATTAATCGTTTTACTTTGCAGCTTGGCGGACTTGTTCTGGATCAGGAAGTGCGTGCTCTGGGCACCTACTTAACGGGTGCAACTTCCTGGTCTGTGCGCGATAAGATGACACGTCTTTCACAAATTGCTACGCTTTTAAATTTAGATAAAGTTTCAGAATTGTCCGAATATTGGAATCCCGAAAATAATTCTGAAATGCCTTCTTGGCGACTGACCCCTAACGAAGCACGCACTATTCTGGCATTAAGGTAAATTAACGTAGGTGTATGCTTCTGTTCAAATTATTTATTTTTGTTCACTTTTGTAGAAGCGATTTCCGTATGGATGACATTAAACGCTTGCAGCTTTAAGCAGAAGGCGTTTTTATTAAAATGATGATGCTACGTTTTCAGTTCTCTTTACGCTAAACCAACGATTGAAATCCAATCTTAATAAGAACTGCGAAAGCGGACCGAAACTGGATGCACTTTTAATGTTAACCAATAATTTAATTAATCCCGATATGGCAATGTTAAATCTATAAAAATATTTAAGAAATATAAACATATATAAATGAACTTTGCTCAGCTTACCTTTCTTCAAGTCTATCAACATTATTTAAATGATCATCGGGCGTTTCTTCCGAACAATTCACGACACTAAATTTCTCGCATATACTAAAGATCTCAAGAATTGTTCCATAAACCGGATATTGGGAATGACGTGTTGACTGGGTAAGATTTATTTTTTTGTCGGTTTCATCGGTCAGCAGAAAACATTGTGAAAGAACATTGGCTAGAAAAACTGAATGAGCTCTTTGAATTTCTTCAAAATCAGCTTTACTAGCAATCACATTCATGAGAATACTGAACTGAGCTATAATAAAAAGGAAATGTTAATCTTTATATACTGTTGCTGTAATATAGATATTTTATGAGCTTACATTCAAGAACATCCACCTGTATGTAATACTGCAAGTTGTCCAAAAAGAACATTAGGTGATTACGAAAGTTAATAATCTTTAGGTTCACCGGATTTGCGGTTTTCGCGGCCCATTTGTGGCGGGCCCACACAAGCTGAAGATCATATTGTAGCTTCCGAACAGTTAAAAGGAAACGAAACACAGTATTGTATCGTTCTACCGTTGTTGGTGAGAACAAGAGATTCAATGGCCATTTATATATGTATTTGAGATGAAGGTTTTGAAATATAGCAAACTCGCAGCTCTCCTCCAGATCGCTGGTAGTTTTTTGAACACTTAACGAGAAATTCTCCAAATCATCAACGATTCCCATTACATTTGCTGCAATCTGTAACAGTATTATGATGATTTATTAATTAAAATAGTTATAAATCTTGATTGTAATGTGCGTACCTCGAAGGCTTTTGTATAGTTTTTAGCATTTAGCTCAGCAAGGTTTTCTGAATTCTCATATAGTTGACGAAAGAATTCCAAATAAAATTCACCGCGTCCCAATAGGTAAAAGTCTTTTATCAAATACAATTGACGATCCAAATCATCTTCGATAACTGCTATTTCTGACAGACGTTGGCTAACGTATTTCTTGATTTGGTTAATTACACTTTCCAAGTGAAATATATCGATCTTATCATCCTGATTCAAATCTTCAATCATTTTACAAAACATGCCTTCTTTGCCATCCCAAAGCTCACTTATATCATCACAGAATGATCCCGGCATTTTCATCATCCAAGTGTCGTTTTTGTGTTTACTTCGGTCCAATTTAAAAACAAGAACCGTTTGACCGACAAATAACACCTTTTCAGCTAAAACAGATGATACAAAGCTGGGCAATTGACTAAATTGGATTTCGTACTGCCATATCTCTTCCTCACTCAATGAACTCTGCACAAGCAAAGAGAGCAAACATTATAAATTTATTTTAATTATTTATCTAATTACCGCATGCGTATTGTTGCTAATCACCGATTTTTCACTGGCAGTCTTCGGATCACTTTCATTCGAGGATCTATAGGTGATAAAGAACTCGGAGTACTCATCATCTATAACGCCGAACAAGAGCCAGTGGGTCAGGTGCGAAAAGAAAGCCAGCTTGACGGGTTTGGAAACTCTAAAAATGGTTCATTATATCTTATCATTTGAATTGGATTATTCAAAATTACTTGGCGATTATGTGGTCCATACGAAAATCTCCATGCTCATATGCTTGATGCAGGTTTTGTAGCAGCCTGCAGCCATTAAGTTTCTTAAATAAAATACAAAGTATGTTTCTTGTTCGATAAGGTTTAAAAATTAATCAGCTAACCTGTATTCTAGCATCGTTAATAAGTTTACGCAAAAAGAGTACAACCGTTGAGTGCAGTTCCAAGGCATTGTAGATATATGCCAAAGAGTTGGTTGCATTTTGTTCGGAATAAGATTCCAATTGTAATATTTCATTGTAATATTCCTCAAGCGCACTGTCGATACCTTTGGCAAAGTTCTTTAAATAATATCCCGAAGAGAATTCTGAAAAACAAAACAATAAAATAAACTGGAAAATAGCATTACAACTCAAAATTACCTTTCGCTTCGGTGTAGTCCGAAATGTCGTGCTGACTGACGCCTCCGAAAAATTTCGCAAATCGTACAACTTCACTGACGTTATTTAGGATGCTTACAATGTCCATAAAAATTCTACGTTCACAAGGATGCATAAATTTTTCTACTACCTGTGTTGCCTAAAAAATGATTAATAATAATAAAATAGCTACACATAGAAACACATGGCCATGTAAAGATGTTAGACTCACAAGAAAACTTTGAATACTTATTCCTTTGCGGCTTAAACTCAAGCACGACAGTAAAATATCGTGTATCATTTTTTACAGCTTGCATATAACCAGAAATTAAATTAAATAGTATTAAAACGCCCGGCGTTATTCGCTTAAATATTTGTTGTCTTTTGTGCGAATGCTAAATACGCAGGAGAACGTCTGAGGACTATCGATAACACGTTTAATAAATTGGAAATTCACAAACGGTCACACCTAATCGATAGTGCATATCGAATAATAAAAGAATGAGACGATGAGCATATCAGCTGTTACTGTTTGAATTTGTTAGGCGGTAAGCGCCCTTAATCTAAGTTAATTCTTAGTTTAATAATTGATTAATATATATGCATATCCATATATATATATATATATATTGATATATATGCACATGGGTATTTAAGGTAAACTTATTATTTAAAGGCAATAAAATATTGATTGATGCCTTGATGCTTTCTATCAAGATGCTACTTCAGAATCGTAACTTTAAATTTAATTTCTATTCTACTTTAAATTGCTTACCAGTAAATCTGCTAAAGCCAGTTGCGAAAGTCAAAGCTTAAGTTTCTTTTCATAAGGAAAGCTTAAGCAACAATGAATTTCGATTTTGGCTACACCTAGCCTTATCTGTATATACATAGGCATATAAATTATCCTTTCTGCTTTCATAGTTGTCAAATTTTATTGTCTTTCGGTGCGACAGTGTGGAGAATTTATACCCTGGACAACGCCGCAATAAATAAAGTTCGTGTGTCCGCCGTGGCTCGATAAGCTGGCCAAGAATGTTAACAAATATGTTTTTTATGGTCCGCTTCCATTTTGCACCTTTGTTGCCCACATGAAGTTTAAGCTATGCAAAGCACAAAGCCAAACACCTCACGAATGCCCAATGCTTTCTTTGGGCCTGGTTGCCCGTTACCAAAACTGCTGACATGGGAAAATCTTGCTGAATAGAGCGAGGCAGGCTCCAGAAAATATACATAAATATTCTTGTTGGTTTTATATGAGCTCAATTAAATTCTCTGCTGCAGATATGAAAAGTGCCTACTGTATATTAAATTCATATTTACGGCATAAGCCCAACAAACTTAAAGGGAGAAAAACTAAATCCAGCAATTACATTTCAGAAAAAAACCGCCGGCAATGCACACCAAGAAACTTATTTAATTTCGAACATATCCAATGTGGATGTGTGTGTGTGTGTGTGTTTTTTTATATTTTAATTACACTCTCGTTAAATAATTCAGCGACTTGAGCGAACCTGTAAGTGCATTAGCCGGGAGTTCCCCTAAGCCCCTCCTGTTGGCATGTGTGCAATTAGGAAGGGTGTTTTTTTTTTTTTTAGTTGCAGACCAGCAGAATTTCGAATTTATTGCATTTTATTTTGTAACATGAATCTTTAATTTTGCTGCTACGTTAATTAACTTTAATTTTTTACTGCACCAGCCATGGCCCCCATGCAAGTTCCTTATTCCAATAAAGTTTTGCGGCGTCTCTAAAATGCAAAATGAAAATGCACAAGTGCGGACTTGGCCCTTTTGCTAAATACGAGTGCATAAAGTTATATTCGTATGTGCATTATTCCTCGAGTTTATTAAGTTCGCAAACGAGTTTTATTTTATTCATTTGATGAAAAAACTTCGGCCTAAAGAGCCCAAGTGCATGTTTATGCTGTTTGAATTAGAGATTTTCAATGTGGCCGGCAATGTTAATAAATAATATTGTAATAAATAAATAATAAATTAAATTAAATATTATTATAGTAAAGTCATATATTACCTGTTCGTGTTGATGCAAGCACAAAATTATTTACCAGGATTATTTCAATTTGAATCGATATCCTTTTTAAGTAACGTGACAATTAACAGTTTTTCTAAGAAACATTTGTAAAATTTATTGATAATAATTAATATATGTATAAGTATTGCACTTATCGAGTATAATGTACTTCATATAAAATTATCTATTTCAATTTCTTTATAAGTATATATCATATTTTGTTCGACTTTTATCGTCTTCAATAAGTATATGTACTGAAGTACGGCACGAGTTTGATTTGCATTTGCTTTCTTAATTTTATGGGATATGAGGTTCTTGTTAAGGTGATATGGAACCTTCTGTTTGCGAATCTCTTCTCAATTCCCGTGAAATTGTTTTCGATTCTCCTGATTAATGTATATACTTATGTATCTATATAACTAATTGTGTAATGAAAAATTGAAATAGTATTGCATGTCTTTTCAGCTCTTATGTGTATTACATAGTTTGATTAGTTGGCTTGCAGTATTTTGATTTTGGTGATATACATCTAATTTTTCTAATACCAATAAAATTGACTATGAGAAATACATCTAAAGCAATTTGGGGATTATTTGTCAGTGCATCTATATATGAATATTTGTATTATTTATATATACCAATCTGAAAGGCACTGTTTTTCTTAAATATGATATTTAGAATTTGCTTGAAAAGTTTACGATAATCAATATATGTATATTTGGTCATTTTGGTTCCATTAAAGATTGGTCAATATTAATTGCACTGCGTTTGTTTTGGTTCTTCAATGATTTGATTTGAAGCGCTTTGATGAGGGTCCCGAACTAAGGCATTATAAATAAAACTACGGTACGGTCCGACAAGCCAGACACAAGTTATAGAATATCTATTTAATTTACAACTTTTTCAGCGGTTAGGTCGCACTCATCCCAATCCGCAAGTGCCCAGTTGGGCAGCTCAGTTTCATACTCCCAGCCAGGCCCCTGAATTAATCAAATTATATATATGCCTACATTCTGATTAGTTTATGCTTGGCACTTACCTTGTACTTCCATGCGTGCAAGTACATGACCAGGTCCTTTGGTTTCGGGTCCCGGTAGTGCACTTTACACTCATAGCAATGTTTGTCAATAACAACTTTGTCGGAGGCCAATCCCAAATCCGTTTGTGCCCCATTTTGGATTTGCAGCCCTGTGGGCAAAGTGGGAGCGACATCAGCCTTGCCTGAAAAAATCGGGCTGCTATTTGTACAATGCAGTTGCTTGATGGAGTCTGTGGTCTGTGGATTTTCCAGACAAGGCGGTGTGGTTTCCCGCGAATTGGCACCCACATCGTCATCGCTGTGATGTACGGCTAGATGATGAAAAATAGTCTATATATTACAGATGTTTACAGAGTCATTTTGGTTCTTGGCAATACCAAAAGTTTGATCGCTACTCAGGCTCTCCAGGTCAGTTTCGTCTTTGGTATTCTTAAACAACGATATGTCCGAGTCACAATCTATGCCCAGCCAGTTCTCCGCATTGTGTATGTTAATGAGATCGCGTATAAGTTCATCGTCAGTTTTGCCACCAATATCTCCGCCGCGACCCTTCAAAGGCCCAAAAACCTCATGGTTGTACAACGGATCGTTGAGTATGGGAAAGCCTTTAGAAATGAAACGGATTTATTATGGTTAGTTTAGCTCAGCGAGATGAGATTTGAATATTACCCAAATATTGCAAGTGAACACGTATTTGATGCATTCTTCCCGTCAGCGGCTTGCAGAGTACCACGCTGGTTTTTCCATTTTGTGACAACTTTTGGAAAGTTGTGGTGCAATCCTTGCCCTTTTGGGATACCTTACACACACCAATCTTATAGCTGACCACCTCGATTGGCTCCTTGCATTCCACGACACCGCTGAAGATAGAGTTTTCGATTAAAAAATCTTCCACTTATTCGCAGTTGGATTGCTTTACTCACTCTGGAAAAATGCCCTCCACTCGACAGATATACTCCTTTTCCACCTGCCTATTGCGGATCTGCTGTTCCATTTGGCGCGCCTTTTTGGGACTGCGGCCGAATAATAACAGGCCGGAAGTGAGACGATCCAAACGATGAATTGTGCGTAGATTCTTCAGGTTGAACTCCTTGGCTAGTATAAAGACGACAGTATTATGCCTGTATCGACCACATGGATGCACCTGGGGTAAGGCGAAATGAGAATTAGTTTTGAATAAGAAAGTTGGCATCTTCGAGAAATTCGTATTATTTGCAAATTGGTGAGTGTCGCGCTTAAGTAATATTATTAGTTATTAGACTAATGCATAGTTTATGTAATATGGCGGTCGTTTAAGCCACTTACGGGTATAGAGGCTGGCTTATTAACAACCACAATGTCCTCATCCATATGCACTATTGTGATTGGTTGGCAAGTGACGGGTACTTCGTGTCTGCAAAGATATATTCATGAGTGCGCACATTTCGTTAGATATATGTAACCATTCAGTGCTTTAAATGCAACAACCCATTCAGCCAAAATGCTTGACTCATTTGAGAGCATTCGACTGGTTGGCAGCCAGGCATAAATAAAAATATAACAAATATAATTTATAATTATAATAAAATTATATATTCCTGATCAAATTCGAATGTCTGTCTCTATGCAGTTTTACATATAGTTCTTAGTATATATATATACCTATCGGGTATATTTGCTAGGGTATTTCATCTTCGGCTGCCTGTTCTTAGTTGTTTTCAAAATAGCCCGAAATGACAAATTTGGTAACAATTAGACGGATAGACTTGGCTAGATCGAGTCTAGCATTTGTGTAAGATTTGTTTCCATTTTAAACTCAAATAAAATCTAAACGGATTTCGATTTATTTGACAAACTTGGAAGTACTTTATACTATAAGTTGCTATTTAAATGGCTGTAAAAAAATACACTAGCAATAAATATGCATTTTGTTGTATTTGAAAGCAAGTCGAGTAGCGCATTATACAAACAATTTAAAGAGAATAGCTAGAGAATTTATGAAAATGAAGTTATTTGGTTAAAGGCATTTCTTGTGCCCATACTTAACATGTTATAATATTTAATAATATTTAATAAAATTTACCTGTGCACAATATTGGCCAATAAATCGTTGTGCTTCAGCCGATAGTCAATGGGCACCTTCTCGAAATTGACGGTCAGCGTCCCGGTCTGGATGCAGCGTTCATATTCCTCAGCTGGATGTGCCCGGAACTCCTTGGAGAATATGTCGAGTATCTTTTCGCCAACCCAGCGTCCCTTTGTGAAGGTTGTGAAGGTGAAGTAATATGGATAGACTTTTCTCAGACCTATGCAGATAGATAACATTTGTTTTTTTAATCGGTTTTTTAGTGTTCTTTTTTTTTTCTAAGCCAACCATTTTCCATATAGTAGGAGGTCTCCTGATATCTTTCGTCAGTGAAACCTGGTCTCTTGGCCTTCAGCGCCTTTGTCTCGAGCTTTGCCTTTAAAATAGTTCGAATAAGCACATCAAATTTGTAGGCTAATCGTGCTTTACCTTTTTCAAATCCTTAATTTGCTCCGTGTCCTCAGTTTTTCGCTTCTCGGGTATTTTTACTTTTTGTTTTTCCAGCTCGCTGGCGGCTGTCAGCTGAAAGCACATGAACAACCCGATGTCAATAAAAAGGCTTAGTGTAAAAAATGTCATAGATTAACTTTTAGGATACTCAAATTGCTGAAAGCTACAAATACTTTATATAGACATATACTTTATAAGGTATCTAGAATTTAGTATTCAATTTAATTCCTGTACTATTTGATTTACGTGCAATTCCTTTTATTTTTATGCTTTTAAAAATTTACTGCTTGGTCAGAGAAGATCAAGTGGTTGTAGAGATCCATTCATTCTTCCGTTTGAAGATTTATTTGACGTGGGCCTGGCAACTCAGCAACTCGAGTTACGGAATCCATCAAGAATATTTATACATTTTGGCGTCTGGCATTCCTATTTCTTGTGGTTGTTGTTTTTGTTGGTATCTTTTCATAATTTGATCGTCGTATTCCTGAAATGTGAATTCTCAAGTGTTCAGCTGAGCACCAAATCCACATGAATTATTTACTTCCAAATGTTCATCTATGTATATATATATATATATATATATACATATAATTGGGAGCATGTATTGTACAATGCAATTCCGAGACAAATAGTGTATATATATATATATGTATATATCTGTATGTTATACATATGGAATGGATACTTGCATTTCAGTTAGTTGTCTCTTTCGTGGACTCCGATGAGTGACTGTTGGCTGGCTGACTTTTGTCTTTGCTTTCATTGGCAGTGCGCCCAGCAAATGATGGAAACTAGCTGCATGCCCAAAAAAAAACCCCCACTAAATAAAGCTGTGCGGGAGGGCACGGGACGACCACGGGAGACTCTGACACCGACGACCGACGGCCGACGGCCGACACGGACTGCCGGTCAATTTCCCTTAAGCAGCATATTTACGGCTTTGAAGGCATCTTCGTCTCACATGTGCACATAACCAATGCACAATATTTATCCCCATAGCCCCATAGACAAAAGACAGCATTCGAAAGTGTCTTGAATTTTGTAGCATGGTTTAAAATTAGCCGTGATTTCATTTCATTTGACTACAATATTTACAGTACAGTGTAAATTTAAAACATATTTTAGAAGACAATTTTCGTGTGCTGCTAATTAATAAAACACGCTATTAACTTGTTGCCAAATAATCAATAATCACTTATGTTAATGAATATTGTGAGGAAATGAATGAAATGTTTGAACTCTGCCCACACACACACACACCCACTTTCTTGATCTGTGTGTGTGTGTGTGTGTGTGTGATGGCTCTACTCATCCATGAGATGATGTTCATATAGAAAGACTTGATAAATTAATTGAATCATTCAACGGCGGAGACCTGTTGCCAGCGATCTTGGCAAGCGACCATTCATATGTGTGTTCATTTTTTTTTTACTTACATATATATATATATATATATATATATATATATATCTAGATGAATATGCATGCAAATTATTGTTTGCATGTACATTGTACACTTTTAATATTGTTCCAAGCGAACGGCCGACGGTCTGGCTGCTGCTTGGACAGCATCCCGGTCGCCGCGTCCAATATTTATGATTATGCCCACCGCGAACTACTTTTATATGGCATATATATATATATATATAAATATATGTATATATAGATATATGCGACAGATTCTCTCTGCGCCCGATTGCGCAAGGTGCTAAAAACAGGCGTGTGGCGCGTGGGGTGTGCGTGTCTGTGCGAGATCTGGAAGCCAAAAAATGGCCAGCACGTGACCACATTGGCCACGATTTCGTTAATTATCCATTTTCAAGAACACTCATCATGGTTGCCAGCTCTATGCCACTTTTAATAGCTGCTCTTTCCATTCGCACCAGACAGAACCTGTCCAGGCCAATTTACCAGCTTAAAAAGCATCCTGCTATTAATTAGAGCACTGATTATGTCCACACTGGCGGACTAGTCTGGCCGCAGAATGTGGAGCTGCTTAGCGTTTGGAGACCATGACCATATCTGATTGACAAGTACCAGTTGCACAAAGCCGTACAAAGCAATCTTGCTCTAATACTGTAAATTCTAGTTCTGCACAGCAAAAAAAAAAAAATAAAAAACAAATACTTATAAATAAAAGCCTGTCTTCAACAATCAATCTGTCTTATTTCTTCTCTAAAGAGTCATTTCTCTTATGGTCAATCTTTGAATTTAGTTCATATTAAATCATTGGGAAAAGTCTATAAAATTGGCTCTGCCAAATTTATTTTAATTATTTGTGTATGCGCGCTGTCAGAATAAAGCGATAGTAAAAAAGTTCATTCAAATTTAAAGATATTCAATTTGTTTGCTTTGCGTAAAGAAAAATATTTTCAAAATTCTTTCGACGCCAGAAATGTTTATAAAACATTATACTTTTATGGGCTGCACGCAAATTTGTTAATCAATTACTATGCGCTGTATATATAAGCTATATATATTAGCTTACTTTTCTATTAGCTTTTTTAGACCTTTAAAATCTCATAAATTTGTCGAAGCAGAAGCGATTTTTATATTTGATAACATTTTGGACAAAAAATTTATCTCTCTAGAGACAAAAGAGATAAAACAATTAATATATAATAATATTAAGTGAGCATTTAAGCATATCTCTGGCACACCGAACGTTTAATACCCTTACAGTTATGTGAGAAAAACTAAAATTTAAAATGCTGAGTTTGATGAACATGTTTTGCCTAACTTTCAATCGATCTTGCCAATATGTCAGTTATATCGGTCTAATTAGAACAGAAGCTGTCTTCAACAAAATGCACTTTTTAATAGTTCTTCCCAAACGAGATGCCAAAGCGGTTATTAATAACAATAATATCAATAATTGTATTAGTAGTAAAAATATTTGTTATTGTAATACCTCAAATGCCACAAATTAATTTTTCCAACATTTTTTAAAAATCTACATTTTCATGCACTGTAAATGTGATCATGAAATTGTTATACCCACTGGCAAGGGTGTAATAATTATTATAAAGCTCATAAAAAAAAAAAAAAAACAGATTATCTTTATTAAAAGCTACATATTAATTGTTTTAATCCCACCCAGAAATATTTCGCTGCACTGCAAATGTGATCATGAAATTGTTATACCCGCTTGTAAGGGGCACTGCAAATAAAATGACTTGTTGAAGCTACATTCAAGTCTGTGTCTTAACTTGTTTTCAAGGGCCGCGAATGTAAGCAAATACATCTCGTGTCTTGTTGAATGACTTCTGTTTGGCCGAGTTGAACACGCGTATTATGAATTTCAGTAAACAGCAACGAGAAAGATAAAAGAGCGCTTGGCTGCGACCTGCAGTTGGGGCTACTTTATGGGCCATTTAGGAAACCTTGACCAACTCAGTCAGCAGCGCTTACGGCTCGTGAAGCGATTGCATTTCGAAAAAAAAAATGAAAAAAAAAGACTGTGGAAATCGGTAGTGGAAAACACGAACAGCATGCGTAGCGATGCGGAAAATCTGAAAGGTCTTTGCGGCAAGGCACAAGGAGATTGCTGATTGTCTGTCCGCTTATAAATAGTATTAGTATATTTATATTTATTTATTAAACACAAAGCACATAATTACTTTTGGTTTCTATGATATCATCTTACCATTTGGCTGTTGCCAAACACACCGCCAACTAGACAGGTATTTAGCAATTATAGAAAAACAGCGATACACACATATGTATATGAATACGTACAATTCAGAAGACAATGTAGACATATTGTGTATACTATATAAATCGTAATAAGCAATTTCTGATTACGTTCGTTGTTGTTATTATTATTACTATTATTGTTGTTGTTGTTGCTGTTGTTGTTGTTAAAGTGAATGTCCAAACATTACGACTCGGGCAGAGTGTTTACAAACGGTGACTCGGTTTCTCGGTTTTTCATGATGCAGTTTTGTCATAATAACGATTTACCAACTCAATTTGGTAGCACTTTGGATATGTGTTTATATACTTTATAAGACTAACACTCGATCAGTGTATATACACACACTCATCGATGTGTATCTATCTATCTAAGTATCTACCTGTCGGGGCATTGTTTGGCTTAGCTAATACATCCGCTATAAATTTATTTGCTTTTCCAAGTTACGATTTAGCTGTTGAAATTTATATGTTTTCTTTAATTAATTTCCATTTTTATGTGCTTAACCAAACAGTGCAATTGAATTAAGTGTTATTACAATGTAAATAAAATATCATCTACATACTAGGTGCAGCTGATAGTTGCGAATCGATTCGAGCTTGGGATTTCAATTTAATTGTTTTTATAAACCAAACCCACTTTTGTAGACCAAATCTTAAAGCAAACCAGTTAACTGACAAAAGATAAACAGAATAAAAGCCCAAAAAAAATGATATTATCATGATATATTGCCTAGGCATCAACTCTACTGAGAAACTGGTATAGAAGCATATTTTAAGTAGAATATTTCCACAAATTATATAAAATTATAAATTCAATTTGTTTTATATTACAAAAACCAAACCACCAAAAATTTATCTAGAGAAATAATATATTAAATTAAAATAAGAAAAAGTTTCCAAGTTACAAAGAAGGCGCTTCAGAAGCTATCTCTTGAACCTGGGAGACAAGTTTGCATAAAAATAGATTTGAAGAGGCAAAGAAATATATTGACTTTTTAGACGCGGAGAAGTCGTTTTCGACATTATGCTTAAGAGTTATTAACAAATTGTTTAATAATAAACGAATAATAAAAAATAATTTAGCATAAAACGGCTTGCATTATGGAATGTATATACATTTCTTTATATAGACAGCTACCAGTTTACAGTTTATAAATAATCACTGCAACTATCTAGTATATGGGATGAATAAATTAAATGGAGATATATATAAGTACAGATGTTTGTGTGTCAAAGTGAATCCATGTACAGAGCTATTGAACAATGCTTAGACGGGTTCACTAACTAACGATACATCATTATATGATGAGCTCACATAAATCTACATATTTATGTAATGTACGTATGTATGCATATGTATGTAATGTACCTTACTTATGGTTCAAGAGCACGGCACATTTCAACGTAAACAGCAGCTGCTCAGCCGGCTCTCAGGCACTGACATCAATTGTGTCTCGATGACCTTCGCGTAAGTGCTTGATTGCAGGTGTCTTTCCGTCCGTCCGTCCGTCTGTCTGTCTGTCTGTCTGTCGGTCTGGTTGGCAATCAGAAATCATGACACGCCGTTTAGGAGACCAGTTCGATCAAGTGTTTAGTTGTGTTTAAGATATGTGTACGAGCATGCAGTCAAATTTAACCTTAACTTTGGCAATCAAAGAGCTAATTCGCATTTTTTCTTTTATACTCTATTCTCAAAGTCAACAGAGAGTATATGCGATGTCCGTCTTGTCGGAATGAAAACTTTTTTCTAGCTTGCGAAAGTTTAAATTTGAAATATTCACTTGGATTTTTGTGTAAACCTCATTAATTAAGTGAAAAGTAGTCTAAATCTTTATCTATATCTATATCTATATCTATATCTATATCTATATCTATATCTATATCTATATCTATATCTATATCTATATCTATATCTATATCTATATCTATATCTATATCTATATCTATATCTATATCTATATCTATATCTATATCTATATCTATATCTATATCTATATCTATATCTATATCTATATCTATATCTATATCTATATCTATATCTATATCTATATCTATATCTATATCTATATCTATATCTATATCTATATCTATATCTATATCTATATCTATATCTATATCTATATCTATATCTATATCTATATCTATATCTATATCTATATCTATATCTATATCTATATCTATCTATATCTATATCTATATCTATATCTATATCTATATCTATATCTATATCTATATCTATATCTATATCTATATCTATATCTATATCTATATCTATATCTATTTCTATATGTTCGATTCAATAATTAATAGCTCATTAAATAAAATATACAGATTTCCCCTTGTGCACAACTATTTGCAACGCAGTTTCAACTTACACAATTTACAGAGTATTTCATAGTCGGTCACTTCCGATTAAAGGGTTTTTTTCACTCACCTTTCTGTTAATTGTTAGAGTGGCTGCATTTGGCAGCGCTTTGATGGATGTGAGACCGGCGGCAGCTCCATGATTTCGAAGGGCCATAACGCTGCCCAGGTTCAGATTAATGGAGGAGAGATGCTGCAGATCCTGCGGCATACAATTTAGTTGCTGCACTAGAGCGCATGTGGGCGGCTGTTGTGGACGCGGCACCGACACGGACACGGGCACCGGCACCGACACGGGCGACGTCTGCGGCAACATGCCTGCTGGTGTGCCCGTCGAGCCTGCCACGGAGGCGGCAGCCAATAGAGCCTGCTGTGCGGACAATGGGACGCCACCAAACGTGGCCACAGCATTCGCATGATTAGCTCCAGCGGCTGCAGCTGCCGCCGCAGCCGCCGCCTGCGCTGCTGCCGTGTAGTAGGCGCCCAGCGAAAGTGGCGAAAACATCGACGACTGCAGCAGATGCGTCTGCGAGTGATTGTGCTGACTGCTCTGCGCCAGCTGGCCCGGATAGCTGCCCGCTTGGCCAGCATTAAGCAGCGGCTGGCCAAAATTATAGGCGGGCGCCAAGGGAAAATGGGCGCCGGCGCCGGCGCTGGGATGCAGCGCGGGCTGTTGATAATTTGTTGGCGGCGCTGCCGCAGTATTCGGTGAGTGTTGCTGCGGCTGCTGCAGCTGCAGCTGCTGTTGCTGATGCTGATGCTGCTGCTGCTGCTGATGCTGCTGATGCTGCTGTTGCTGCTGATGCATTTGCGGCTGTGGAGCGTAGATAGCGCCCGGCGGTGTTACGGCCACTTTGTCCGCAAAGGGCGTTTGCATGGCCATCAGCTTGTGGTGATGCTGCTGGGCAGCCAAGGACCAGGGCAAGTACCAGGCACACGAAGACGTTGAATTCTGCATATTGTGTGTGGCTTTCTTTTCTTTTCAAGTAACTTTAATATCTATGTTGCTTTATGTTTATATCACTTTTCTATATAGTATATATTGCTTATTTCTCTGTTCAATGTTGCATAATCAAATTACATCATTTAAGCAGAATTAAAATCACTTTGTATTTATTTTCGAGAATTCTTGCTGTTTTATCAAAAAACAATTGAGTTTATTTTCAAAATACAACCAACGAATTGTTTACGTTCTGCTGCTTACATAGTTGCTAAAAGCTGTGTTTTCTCATGATCTGACTATATATAAATCTATATACATATATAGTTGTTTACCTGTCTATATACGGAGAAGATCAACCCAGCTCTGTCTGCCACTTTCGACGCGTTTATTTGAAATTTGGATGCTGAATTTACTTGGGTTTGCTTTTGTTTGGTTTATCTGTTCACAAGTCGCTGTGACTTCGTGCAGCGCACAATGGGATAAAACTAATTAATCTGACTAAGAATTGTGTTTAAAACAAAAACAAAAAATAACATTAAATATACTTTAAAGCGAATGCAAAGACTAATAATATATGCCCTTCAATACACTTAGCAAATTATGCTGCCTAAAAGTTATTCAAACAATAAGTATAAAATTAAAGAAACAGAAGGTGGTTCGAATTAAAACAAGGGTTCGAGACTCTTCACGAACGAAACCTTAAAGTCGAAGAACTGCATAGAACGTGGTTCAAGAACCAAACCTTTAAGCCGAATCTTTAAGGAACGTGGTTCATGAACGGAACCTCAAATCGAAACTGTATAGAACGAACCTTAAAGTCGCGTCTGTAAGGAACATAGTTCCCGAACAGAATCTTAAGTCGAAGCTGCATAGAATGTGGTTCAAGAACCGAACCTTCAAGTCGAAGGCATTGGTTCGCATTTTGAACGTAAAAACAAATTTCTTTTGAAGTTTTATTAGTATCGGAAAGACTATTATCCTATGTATATAAAAAAGTGTGAGCGAAATCAGAAGTCTGTGTTGATTTGGAAATTTGTTGTTATTGTTAGCGACGCACTGTCAAAACGAACCCCAAACATACTCACACACACACACTCGCACACACACTCGCACACTCACACATACATATGCGACCACAATATGGTCGGGTCCCGCATACAACTACCTGTCTTGACGGCAACGTTGTGTGCACTTGTTTATCGTTCAATAAATGAAAATGGAATGGAACAATGGCTAGAAAAGCCACTAAATATAGCGTAATGGATTTTAAATGCACATTCGACATCTGACGGCTGGTTGATAGCTGATGGGTTTTAGTTTTTTTTTTTCTTTTTTCTTTTTTGGCTGATGGACAGACTGCCAAACTGTGTAAATAGAAATTTTATGCTTGTGCGCCCCCTTTTTTCGACTATATAGTACAAAAAGATACTGGTTCCGGCTTCTAGGAAATATGAATTTCATTGATGATATGCATGTAAAAAGAACTGAAATAGCGTATATTGGGGGGCACAGTCAAACTAAATGAGATGTAACAAAGAAATAAAAGTTTAATTTGGATATTCGAATATTGTTTTATTTTTTTGAATAACTATTGTGGCGTACTCAAATCCCATTCGCAATTAGAAATATATCGTTCATGGCACATTAAATGTGCCGCTAGTTATCATCTAGTGGCGAGTTAATATGTAGAGCTCCTCTATGCACCTCCTCCCCCCACCCCCCTTTCCACCCTCCTCCCTACCTCTCTGGCGCACACTCCTTTAGACCCCACCCACTTCCACTCCCAGCGCCAGCCCGCGGGGCCTTGTCGAGCAGCTGCTGCTATCTGTTCTTGAAGTGTGCGCGCGGCTATGAATTTATTTACTTATGTATTTTATTTTTCGGGGGCTTTGTGCTAAAATAAGTCTGATGTATTACTAGGTTTGCCCGCGTACACAAAGAGCCAGCCACAAATTATTTTTCAAATTTTCATTTCGGCTCTACAGTGTGTACTATGTACAAGTATGTTTATGTGTGCTAATTTTTTCCTTTTTTTTTGTGATCTCCTCGTTGTTTTCTTTTTGTTTGATCATACAGTGACAGAATGCTGTCTATTTTACGGGTATATTCAATAGATATACATACCAACTAATCTCTTATATAATACACTTGGGCATGAGCAAATTGACAAAGGATTGCCCAATAAAACCGTCAAAAGATCACATAACAATCCCATATAAAACCGAATTTTATTCAAATTAAATTGAAAATTAAATGTCTCCTAGAATGAAAGAAACCATACTTATATATGGAATTCGGAATAGCTACGTATTTCCATTGTCTATTAACGAAATATTTACTGAATATATATATGTATATACATATATATATATATATATATATGAAGAGAAATGTACATTTTGTGTCCTGAATAGCGACACGCTAAATGAAGATTAGGTAACTGCATGTGCGGCTCTTGACGTTGGATGATTAAAGGCCATTCTGTGCGTAGGGCTAGTGAAATTACTTGATATATTTCAAACGTCACCTCTAACTAAGACATGCCAACCAACAAAAATATTTTGTATAGAAAATATACAATTTTTCAGAACAAAAACTATTTGCGTACGTAAAAATGGACGATGTTAGACTACGGCAATGGCGCATATTTTTGGTACAGAGCCATGCACGGGCACACACACACACACACACACATAAACACCCATGCACACATACATACAAAACACATGTAGACAAGCCAAGGAAAATATTCTAAAAACGTTGTCCTCAAATAGCTCTACTCATACACACTCCTTCTATTTAGTCGCTCGTCAAATGTCTAAAGAGACTGATTATAATTATAATAAGAACCACATAGATCGTTGAAATGGGATGAGAGATCAAATAACAGGCGGGCAGCATGAAATAGAAAACAAGTTAAAATGAACATAAGAGCTACACACTATTGATAGTAGGTCAGTTATGCGTAAAATGATAAACATAAGTGGTTTGTTTATTGAAATATTATCTGAATGTTTCTATAAGGATATCTCGATGGAAAATAATGTTTATCTAATATGTCAACATATTTAATAATATTTTATCAAGCTTTGCAGCACGTGAACAATAAAGTTGTGTCAAGAAATAAACACACACACACACACGCACACACTCAAACAGTTTTTGTAAATTAAATTACATTATTATCATTGGGCTTAAAATCACATCACTTTATATCGACTTGCATTACTTTGCTTATCTGATAACGTATCGGGCCGTTGGCGCCGGAGTGTTAGTTATTACCACGCCAAAAAACTAAAAACACTAACGAAACGGGTTTTGTTTTCTTTTTTTTTAATATTTAAGCTGTGCGTAACGCCCGCGCACTCAGCCCTCCGCTCGGTTTAATAGGCAGCCAGATTGTAAGCCATCAACATTGTCGAGGTGTACGAGCGTCGGCGTTTTTAATAATTTCGTCGCACACGTTTTGTAATCTCTTAAGCGATGGCATTCACGCGACAACCTCTGCACTGGCTGAAAGCAAGCGGCCGACTGATTGGAGCAGCCCCAAACGGTGACTGTAAAAAGAGCGCCACTGACTGTGGGCCGCACGTAAGGTTTTCATATTTGAATTGCGCGCGCTCTGCTACGACTTGTCGCTTGCGGTATAAGTTGCAGAGCTTAACAGAGCTTGACCAGAGAGTGGCGCTGTTAAGTTTTGTCTCTTGAGCTGTTACTCTTCGAATGTTAATGTTTAAGCAGAAATTAATTATGAAAATTTTTACGCAACAATAAAAGATATATTGATAAGTAGATGTACCAAAGTTTCTCTTTAGTTTTAGGCACTTTTCAAAAAGAGAGAACTTTAAGTTTTTTGATGTTTGGGTTTGCTGATATACGAAATTCCCCCTTTGAAACGGACTATCTGAGCCAAACAGCACATGCAACATGTTGGCTATAAGGCGTGTGCAGCATTGAAAATGGGGTTTGTTTTTTGTTTTTTATTTAGAATATTGAAAACATGAAAAACCATTAAAATGCATGTTCTGAGCTAAATTGCACAAGCTTAACTGGACATTCAATTTAAATAAGTTATTAGAGAATTGTTAATTTTAGAATTTTTGCCAAAAGTATGATCTTCTAGTACTCATATGTAAAATGAGATTTAAAAGATCATTCTAGTTGAAATATTTATTAGAATTAAAATCAAAAAGATTTTCAAGTTAACAAAAAAGAAAAATAAATAAAAATAAAACACTTTTGATTTGTGTTCGTCGTTTGTTTGGTGTTTGGCGATGTTTATTATATGTATTTAAATAAATTCCCAGCCTAATCCCATTAATAAGAATTTTCATGACACATATATGTGAGCATACACGTGCCATTACGTGAATGTGAATATACGTATGTATTTACGCACATAGTATGTATTTATATATATATATATATATATATATATAGAAGTATCTGTACATGGATGAGCGACACATACATATCAATGTTGAATTTTGATGAAACTTTCATATTGTTACGTGAAACAAAAGAACATTTTTGGCGTAGGCCCAACAAAAATTAAATTCCTCTTGATTTAGTTGCACAGGGAAAAGCCATCTAGGCGCGGGATCTACAAGGTGTTTAGATATTCTTACTACATAAACACATTCATTCATTCATATGTAGCCCATGCATACTATATACATACTATGTAAATGTATTGTATGTAAATACAAATACTATGTATATATAGTACATAGCCAGACAGACATTTATAAATTTGAATTTCTATGCTCATTTAATGTCACTCTGGCATAACAAAGATTCGTTAGCATGTACTATGACAATATGTACTAAGTATAATATTCAGGAATCTTTCTCAAAAATCAAGTTTTTGTACAATTTATTATTTCTTTGTCGGAAATCCATGTGTACCAAGCAAATATGCATGTTGGTTCTTAAATGTATAATTTATGTTTGTACAGCGCTTGCCTGAATACAAGCACAAGTTAATGTTGACCTACATTCGTATAGTAATTATATTGCAATTATTTTTATTGTATGTAGCTTCGGCACGTGCAGGTCATAGGGCTCTGTACAGGCTGACCTTCGTTAAGGTTGACATTGAAATCTTTGTTAAATTCCTTTCGATTAAACAGGTTAAAGTTCTCCTCTGCAAGGCTCGTCTCTTGATTGCCTCGAGTAATTGTTGTGGTCTGGCAAGTTTTTTTTGTTTTTTTTTTTATATTTTTAGCTTGAATTAAAGGCTCATAACTCTGGAATATTAATTTTCGCGATGCTCTGATGTAACCAATTTCAAGAGGGGGGCTTAGAAAGTGTCCACCCAGATTGTAGCCGAAAATATCGTGTATATGGAGTAGAACTATGAGCGCGACCATTGCATGTCCGACTGCGTGACTAGTTTAACACACCTGCACTCTCCAAAAAGCGCACAGCCCCTCGCCTATCTACACCTTTGCTGCTCTGTTAAAGGGACGTTCTCCTTGAAAAGCACTCGGTCACGAAACAAACTACAACATCCTTCTGTAAACCCACAACTCTGGTTAAGGCGACCAAAAAAGGCTTGCCCCTTATTTAGGGCAACATTTAATGGCCACTGGCCATAAGGCTCTTGGTCTTGGCTAACCAGCGGCCGTGTGTGTGTGTGTGTGTGTGAGCATGTGGGTGGGCGGGCGTGTGCGTGTATATGAGAGTAAAAGTTGGCATTTGCTACTGCCGACGAAGAAAGTGATTAAATCAGCACGATATTTTGTAGGTGTGCGCACTCACCGATTACATTTTTTTTTTTTTTTCATTCATAGTGTGTGTAGATTTATGTATGTATGTGTTGTAAATTGACTTTTTGCCTGGACAAAAAGTTAGAAATGACGACATCACGCTTCCTCATCAAAAACTATACAAACTGTAAAACCTACCCAGCAGCTACTACTGCGTGTTTACAAACAATATTGTGTGCGGAATCTGACATATATACAAATGTATATATAAATATCCATGTACGTATGTATGTTTACATAAAAATTATATATGTTTACATATGTTTAAATGGACATACAAAGCCTATATACGTCAAGGTGTGTTTCGCAAAATGCAAAATTATACATTTATGGCGACTGATTATTTTCATACTGTCTATAATTTAATAAAGGTGCCAAAATATATTATATTCGGCTATAAACATGCATTTTTAAAGGTTCTTAACATATTTGAAGTCTATTATTAAATTTTATTGAATAAAACCAATTTCAAAAGGGAATCAACTATACACTTGGCATACCCAATGCACTCCGTTTGTTTACAAGGTGTTCAAATTGAACCGAATGAACCAATGAACCAATTTCAGTAGTTCGATTAGCAAAATGGCGCGTTCATCAAAATAATCGAACCAGTTTCGTGGAGCTCGCTGTTGTTGCGTTTTGTAAAAGTTGAATATTTATTTAATAACTCTATGAAGTATTTGCGGTACGCTGATAACACAATTCGCCTGGCAAGTGCTTAACGGACAACAAGTATCAGACAGTTCATTCTAGATACCTTAACCGTTGTTCAATTCGTTCGTTTTGCTGCCGCACACGTGTTGATGGTTTTGTTTTTGTTTGCAGTGCTATAATTTGTTTATAACAAGGCGCTTACTGAACGCACAAATCAAAGTTAATAAAGTAAATAACACATTTTGGTGTTGGCCAACAATGACATTGCCCAAGATCGTACGCCATGTGCAAACCCAGCACGGCGACGACTCCGTGGACGTGGAAAACATATTTCTCTTCCGGGCCAACGTGAACTGCACACGCGCCGAGGCTCCCGCCGCAGAAGTTGCCGGCGGCTCCTCCACAAATGTGGCTGAAATTGGCGCCGAATCTGATGTTAAATCAGAAGAGAACAATTCAATAAACGGTGTGTGGACCTATGAAGCCAGTGAAGATGGCGGTAGCCAAGTAAGCAAATATAAGTAGAAACATATTTTAAATGCTTCTACATATTTTATATATTTGTAAGAGTTAATTTTGTATAGTAAAAGGCTGAGCTGCAAACACTCTAGATGGTACTCTGTCCAGTTTATAAGCTCGAGGTGCTCTAATCGGATCACGATATCACATTGCCATAGTCCACACACTGCCATTGTGTTTGTTTAATAATAGTTATGAATAAGCAACACACACGAGACAATCAAAGCCACATCCAAGCTGGGCTGAGGGTCATTGTCAATGTAGAGAAAGAAAAACTAATTACGACAGCCTCTGTGGCATTGTTGCTCTGTTATAGAAATATGATGTCTTCCATAGACTGCATATTCTTTTATTTACGTACAGCACAAAGCAAACCATTTCCGTTTTACATATTTATGCACATGCATTGAGATTTGAATTTGTAAAATGGCCTGCAATTGCGCTGTTTGTGCAAACAAAATCCGATCAATCCGTTATGAATAATTTGCAACTATTTCGGCTGACGAAATCGGTGCAACATTTCAGTTTTTTCTCTTTTTTTTTATCAATCACAAATCACATGGACGAAAGAATACCGTCTCTCTTTGTTCCCGTTTTCCGTGCGACCACTAATTAGGTAGCTTATGCTAACCTCTACTAAATAAGCCCATGTACTTGCTACTCTTTGTCTACCGCAACAAACATTTTAGTTAGCTTACCTGTGTGCTGTCCGTGCTCTGACTAGAGAGCTTATAGTCGTTTTATTTTTTTTTTTTTTTTTTGGGGGCTGAGCTGTCTCCCGCTTTACCTTCATATTTTAACCGCGGATTTGGTATAATTATTTCTCATTTTGCCTTTCCTTTCTGCCATTTTGAAGGGTGCTTTCGACGCTTCGTGTCGTTGTTCCTTGTTGTTTGCGCTGACGAGCAGCTCCTTGTCAAGTTGGCCAACCTGACGCTTCCGCAATTATCAATGTTGGCAACAGCATGCCCGCCTCCTGTTAATGCCCTGTTTACCTGTTTTAATAAAAGGGCGTATTGGTTTAGTGTAACACATAATTGGGCCTGCAAAACGGTTTCGAGCCGAACCACTGTGATCCTTTTAGGTTCACGAACCGAATGTGGAGTGAGTTAGTTCGAAACGTAAGCCGAACTATCGACAATTTCTACTGCAGAACGATTTCAAGCCGAACCACTGTGAGCTTTATAGGTTCACGAACTGAATGCGGAGCCAGGAGCTAATTCGAACCGTAAGCGTAGCTATCGCCATTTTTTTTCGTTGTTTCATTTGTTGCGTTGCAGCCTCACTCAAATTCAAGTTTGTTTTTAAATACGTACACAGCTACATATTCATTTAATGCAAAGGGGATGGGCACAGGGTATTAACTAGTCGCACACTCTCGATTGGAACAGACGGACTTGTTTTTAAGTAGGTATCGCTATGCTCCTTAAATGTAAATTGCTCTAAATGTTTTTGTCTTCCATTATGCGCGCCTATTGTGTCACTTGCATTTAAAGTTGCTACAATACCTATGCACGTATGTGAGGTATGTAACTGTATATGTATGTATGTGTGCGATGTATATATGCGTTTGCCTCTGTAGTGGTGCTATTG